GTCACAAATTCTCCTAAATCACTCATACGCACAATTTAAGAACAAATCTGTGTGTATGAACGGTTCTTGCATGAGGCCCAATGTTTTAAGATGCTTGATCCTGTCTGCCACTCTTCTCTGAGGTTCAATACAAATTGTAAAAAGTTTACACACCACTGATTTATACTCACGGGTAGGACGGCCAGKTCTGGATACCAGAAGGAAATCCCACTGGTTAAGTTTTATTTACAAGGTCGGCTTATACTCACTGCAATTTCACTGAGAAATGTTAACTCTTATGGTGCGTTCACACAATTTGCTGCCTCTTTCTGTTCCTTTTGCTCAGACTGAATTAGGCAAAGAAGGCTTCCGTTCACTCAGCTCCCTCTTCATGGAACTTGTTACAAGAATCTTTTAGACTGACTGAATTCATCTCTTTTAGTGCTTCTAAATCTAAACTAAAAGTTCTTGAGGTCGATTGTGTGACATGTACCTTTATAGCTTGATATTTTCTGTGTAGAACTGTGTATTATTTTGTGTTGTATTTATTGCTGCCTCCTGGCCAGGACTCTCTTGAAAAAAGACGTTTTTAAGCTTAATGGGGTTTTTTTATCCTGGTAAAATAAAGCAAAAATCAGGAGAGATTTGAGATGATTTATGATATTTAATGTGTCTGGATTTTATAGTCAATAATTATAGTTATGATGTGTTTGAAGCTAAACGAGAAGATTTTGCGGCTGTAATTGTAAACTGTGCTTCCAGTGTCCCAAGTCAGCTGCACTACCACTGCACCACAGCTGATGGATGGAGCTTTGGACACAAAGACAGACTGAGCCGCAGTCAGAACCTTTTCAGACAGAAGAGGGAAGCTCACAGGTAGAGATGAAGGAAAAAGAAAACTCCCGTCTACCACAGAGTGAGGAATTTGATGAGGAAGTAGGCGATTTGTTGAAGAGGAAAAAGAGAAGCGTCTCTAATCTACAGAGCTGCATGGCTATTTGAGAATCATCAGAATATATGTGTGCACATTAGTCCCAGTGCAGGTCTGACCTCTTCAAGTTCATCGTTAGTCTCTTAATAAGTCATTTAAATCAGATGTGTTGGAGCAGAGGACCCTCTATAACCTGCGGTCCTCCAGGACCAGACATCCCTGATGTAGGTCAGTTACATTTACAGAACTTTTCTTCAGCCATACCTGCTCCAGCAGCTCATTGGTCACAACAGGCAGCAGGTTCCGGACAGTGAGCGCAGCTCCGTGCGTAGCGAAGCGGACCTTCAGCATCCTGTTGTTCAGCATCATCCCATCCAGCTCAGTCTTGGCGATCTCTGCCAGTGTTCGGGTTTCCTGTCAGGCGTGGGATGATGGGGGGATTATCATAAATAACATTTATTATAAAGTTCATGTTTGATGCAGCAACATGTACACAGTATGGTACAATACAATGT